CTTACACCTCTATGGATAACGAAATCGAGGAGAAAAAGGAAACTGTGTTTTCTCATTCCATTACTGTTAGGAAATCAGGGAGGGCGACTTAACATTAGTATCAAAAAAAAATGCTAATATCATGTAATAATGAAAAACAAAAATGTAGAATCAGTTTTTAATTTTTTTATGCACAAGTAATATTTTATGTAGAAAAATATAAAATAATAGTTATTCATAATATTATATATTTATGCTGTGATCAAAACTGATTCAAGTGATGTTTGGTTTCATATGAACTCTATTTATAGAACTGTGAAATATTATTCAAAAAAGATGAAAATAACAAAGTAAATCTTTAATTATTAATGAAGAAGATTTTTGTATGAATCAAAAGAAAGAAAATGCTAAACTGTATAAATTTTATTATGCTATAAAACAAAGCATTTTCTTCTAAAGTTTGTTTTTATTATTTCTTTTCTGATGAATTATTCAGAAATAATTATGACTTGTCAGCTCAATAGAATAGAATAGAGTAGAAAGAATCGACTGCAGACATGAGTAGTACAAGGGTGTGAGTGTGGGTATCATTTTTCTCTTTAATCATACCTACACCCACACCCACACTCTCCTTCAACCATACCTTCGCACACAATCCATACCAACAGCCATACCCACATCCATCTCACACCCAAACTGCACCCTAGTATTTACCGTACTCGTAGCTGCACCACTATCTTCATAGAAGATTTTTTCTAAACTGGACACGTTTATGTCAGAAATGAAATTTGGATATGCAGTCGAACAAATAAACTCTTGTGATGCAACGATGACACAGTTCAAAATACGAATCTCTTTAAGCTGTTCATAATAAATATACGAATATTAAAAAACAAAATTTGTCCTTGAAATTATTCTAAAATGTCATTGCATAGTGAGGCGATAAGTGACAATAATAGTATTCATGTTTCGAATGATGTCACGAGTCTATAAAGCGTTTATATCGCAAAAGTAATCCCATATTGCTTTTGATGAGGTTTTTTTTTCTTCGATAAAGATTGCTTTTTCCGAGATAATTAAGTGCTTAAGAAAGCAGTGGAGTAATATCGAATTTTTGTTAATCGAAGGATCACATCATGCGCTTCTTCGCTTTCGACTAATGCGAAAAATATTGTCTCTTCGTTACATATACAGATGGATGCCGTAGCTATTCTTTCGCATTTCAACGCAAATGATGTTTTCAATAGTAGTCCATTGTTTCGTATTCGTTCTATTCAGGTAATTATAAAACCTATTTTTTTTTACTTATTCATCTAATGTTGAACACTCTTCCTTTTCAGCTTTACAGGTTTGATTATTGTTTCGTTTTACATGTTCTACTATTAATTTATATGTCATTAGTTCGAGTGAAATCTCAATTCTGTAATGGGATATCTCAATATGGTCGATGTTCTACAAATAGTGCATGTGCTTGTTACCATATAGCAGGAGCTACTGATATTGGCATTTGTGCCGATGAAGTCGTCAACTGTTCTGAGCTAGTTGCATGCGAACATTCAAGCAACCTTTGCTACGATCGTAACCATAGATGTGTTCATCATCCTCAATGTCATAATCTTCCAGTTTGTTATCCGGTGCCGAGTTTCAATCGACAACTTTGTCCACCAATACCAAGTAAGAGAATAAGCACAGTTCATGTTGTTGTAGAAGCGGTAGGAAAGAGTCAAAGAGCCTTTGAAAAAATAGATATAACATAACAGAGACAAAACAAATTTTAATCATTGGAAAAAAAGATTTCATCTCGTTTGATGAATCATATCCACTAATTTGAAAAAGAGAGTTCCCTACAGTTATATCTAGCAATACATGAAGACGTAGTGAACTTTTGAATATACAATCAGAGACCGGAACAAATTGAACAATTGATCATTCGATTCTGTAGAATGTGTCATGTATTTAGATCTTCATAATCGCACATCAAATTTATTGTGTCATGCTTCTCTTTATTTACAATTTTCATTGTATATTCGACCGATTCTTGTGAATATTAGGTTCACTTCAGTCATTGAATGGGATCTATATGCCACTAATGATCAGTAATGCAACTGTGTATGTAAATTATATTTCACAACTTGTGGCATCACTGACTCAGTCGCCTCAATGAAACACTAATAAGCGCAGAATGCATATTGGTTAACTGCCCTTGGTATAGCTTCTTCTTTTTGAGGCTATGCCTATATGTATCAAATATTTGAGGTTTCTTTCTTAACAGAAGAACAAAAACATTCAAACTGACTGACGACGAGAGAGAGAGAGAGAGAGCTCGTTAAAATTTATTTCACTCACACTACTGATATAACGACAGAATATTCTAATGATTTGAGATGAATACACTAACAGATGGACAGTTTATGTGAGAGGTTGAAATTACAAGCTTCATACTTTGAATAACGATTTTGTACTGCAACAACAACTAATGCATTTAACTCTTTGCTCGTATTCAACATAAAACAGAAACTCGATAGATTCGGTCTAATTCAATTCGATTCGAGTTGGTTTGATTTGATTCAGTCGAATCACGACAAATCGAATTATCGAAAATTTTACGAGATTTCGGTCTCTGATGAACATAGGGTTTTTCCATTAAAAAACAGTTTTGAAAGAAGAAAAATCCTTTTTTTGGACCATTTGACATCATTGATCTACTTTGAAACACTGCCTAGGTTTCACCTAAAACTTAAATGCATCGAGTTCTATATTTTCTATGATAATGAATAGCAATGAATAATACAACTATAAGTACGATTCCAATTACAACTGCAACAACAACTACAACAACTACAACTGCTACCCAACAACTAGGTAAGCATTAGATTAAAGCTTCTTGATCTTGGTAAATATTAATTTTCACCCAAGTATATATATATATATATATATATATATATATAGTTCCTTTATATATAATGTTACTCTGCAGCTAACTAAAGATTAGATTGGTAAGATCAATGATCTGATATCATAAGTAGTTCAATACTAAGCATAAATGAAAAAACAAATAATAGTAATCTCCATATTGACTATTTTTCATCACTCTCGAATTTTCATTCGCTTTGTTGACAACTGTAGAACGAAATCTATTCTTTCTCTTCATTTTATAAGAATACACATTATTCTAAGAATTTTTTTCATAGTTTTGACTACCAAGATCGAAAAGGGTAAACATGTCATTGTCGATTAATATAAGATTAATCAAAAACTAATAAGTTGATGATTTAGAAAAACCGTTAGAACAGGTCCAGAGAAAATTCTGATTGTTATGTATCCTTCATTCATGTCACTTACTAAATATAAATGAATTAAGATTATTCGGTGTATGCAGAAATGTATTGACTTGTGCTCTGTAAAGGATCTTTAGTGATGATTCATTTAATATAGACAAAATACCCAAATAAGTTAAAAACATCAAAACATTCGTGTTATTGAAGATTCAATATGAATCGCACGAGCCTAGAATGTATGAGAAGGAGATAATGGTAAACTCGAACTAAGTCAGCTACGAAAGTATAGTGGCAAACGAAGATTTTCAACAATGAGGTTGCTTCAAAGAAGAGGTTACATCTTGACTCTTCACTTGAAAGACTTCATGATTTTCGTAGAACAAAAGATTTCATACAACCAACCGTCTTCTTTCTTCTTTAAGCCATTAGTTGATCAAGGACATTTATTTCAAGTCTGTTCTCACACTTTTCAGAATAAGTTGTTTTCTCACCTATCGGCATTTTTTCCTGTTCTATTTTGAATGTGTTTAAGATGCTTCTCTTTACCTTCACTCACACCCTTAAAACTCTCTACTCGGAAAACATATCTTGTGTACTTGACACTCTCTAGCTTTCTTTGATTTTCGAAAGCATTTCGAATTATTGATTTTTATTTGAATCTTATGACACTTTGTGGTTTTTAGATTCCTTCTAAATATTCTATCCCTTGTCTTCCTTTCCTTTTTCTGTATTTCTTGGGAATTCTTGTATTTTCTAAATTCACTCGATACCATCTATTTTTTGTGGAGTCTTTCGAATTCATGGATTTCTTACAGTTTTCAAACAACTTGCATCCCTTGAGTTTTTCTGGCAGCTTTAGTTGTTTATATTTATTAGTATCCAGGGATTCATGAGATTATTTTAGGCTTCTTGGATCGTCTTAGTTCATTTAATTCTTTCGATTGCTGAGATTCTGTGAAGTCTTCTTTATAAAAAACAATTTGTAAGAATAAAATTACAAACAAAAAAAAACTATTTGAGTTTATGAATTCGTATAACTTACTGCGGATGTGCACTTGTAGACTGATCTCCATGACTTTAAATTACGCAACATTTGAACATCAATTCTTCACTTATGAGTAAAAAATTTTCAATTTCTTTACTTTGTATAGGTCGCCAGGTTCTACCGATCACTTCTATTATATAAACACACGAGATGTGAAAACCTACTTATAGATCATTTTGATTTCTAAGCAGTCTGTTTCTATTATCTATTTGTTTAATTCATTTATATATTACTTTCCTCAAAGTTTATATTTTGATTCTGATCTACTGGTGATGTAGCGTAGTTATCGTTATATATTTTCGTTTCATGTTTCTTATGCTTGTCGGATCATAAATGTCTTTGAGAGTTTTTTTTTGTTTTATTCTTATCGTACTAAGAATCTGTTGCTCATCACAAATCAGTGAACCGTTCTGCCTGAATTGAATCGATCGATCTGGTTACTTTCTCTATTAATGTTAAGATGCTTTTATATTTATCATGATGACGGGAGAAATCTATGTGTGCATCTCTCTGCGTCTGCTGATTTCGCTCAAAGTAGATGAATGAATATGTTAAGGATCATCCGTTAAATATTTCTAAGTAAAAATTGCGTTTTTTTCAGCTCTTCCTTCCTAGACGTAGAGTATAATAAGAGAACTTTCTAGGAAGAGAGCCTGCTTGTTTAAATATACTGCTTCTTTCTTTGTTCAATAACAGTTCATTAAATAAATGAATGAATATAAAAAAAGAAGACAAGAATCGAACATATTGCAAAGTTTCTGTTTTGTAAATACATTGGATTTCAATGAGCAGAAAATAGTAAAAATACAAGAAAAGCATAATATTTAATTAATTCAACAAGATACTTATACTCAACTGATTCACATTCGATTCATAGTGTACGTATAGTAGTGATGAACTGCCTAGACATGTACCCAGAAGCATCGGTCGACGGATCATATCTAAAGAGATAACACGAGTCTTGATGCAATCAGCTATCGAAACACGTAGCACACAGAACAAGAGGCTGAACACGCAGAGCAGAACAGGAGGAGTTGAGAATCTAAATAACGTGCTCTTGATTATAAATCTGAAGCACACCTGATCGAGCTTGATCTCCGCAATTATCTCGATTTTATACGAGATTCAATTTGAAATTGTTCTTTAAACAAATATCAGAAAATAGTGTTTGAGTTCATCTACTTGGGTGTGGGATATGAGTATGTGGGTGTGTGTTGATGTGGAATGTGGGGGTTGGCATGGGTGATTGTGCGTGCGAATGTATGGATGTGGCTCAAGAGAATAATAGTATCAATAACCAAACTCACATCCAAATTCACCACAACCCACACCCCGGTTCGAATGCGGGTGTTGGTCTTCCTTTTTCCCACACACGTCCACACCCACACACACTACACCCACTCACACATACATCGATATCCGTATTCTTCAGTATTCAACCCCTTTGGACTGATGATCCTTAGAGTTGACACAAATTTATATTTATTTTAATTTTATGACGTGTTTTGTCTGACTTCACTAACTGGAAGTAATATGAGTCGTTTGACAATAGCTGTCTGCGTTCGTCAAAGGCATATTATATTCTTCTTGTTCAAATACATATTTTGATTCTGATTTTTTTTCTTCATCACTTACAATCACGTTGACGTATAGCTCTTAATTTGTCGTATCATTTACCATACATGCACCGAGAAAAAATATATAAGAGAAGCCTCAAATCAGTACGAAAATCACATTAACATTTACGTGATATATTGAGAATCATCATGTTTTACGTACTTGTTACATTTGTCTTTCTACCCGCGGCCATTCTTAGCCTCAAATGTATTTCTTCTAATTTTTCTCGAAATTTCTCATTGGACCAAATCGATTCATTCAAGTCAACCGTTTATCAGCAACCCACCGGTTTCAAAGAAACGTGTGGCATCAACATTATAGTTGATTATACAAAGAACAGCTTTATGGTGCAATCTACTTCTCCTGATTTTGATATTCCAGAAGTTAAAGTCCAGATAAAATTCACGACATGGGTATTTCCGAACGAAGACTTAGTCACACCAATGTCGACCAGAAACGATTTTCAGATTGCATGCAACACAAAAGACTATTGTGATCGTCAATTTATGCTTGATCATATTGGCTGGTTGGTTCAAGCAGAACATTACAAGCTCGAACAGGAAGTTCACGCTGTGCTCGTCAGGGATAGCGTCGAATCAGGTACGAAATGAGTAAGAAGCGACATTTTTCGAAGGAGACAAAGTATAAGTAGAAATGTGCACTAATTTACTGAACATCTTGCTCCGCTAAGATCTGCTCTGTTTATGAGGATCATCAAGAGAGGTATTTAAATAATTGAAAACTTTTGAAGCTATACTCTTTTCAGTAGTTTGAAATCAGTAGCGTAAAATGATCTTCTAAAGTTTGCTGTTGATCTAGTCTATTGATCCTCTCTACTGCTGTGCAAAGTTAAATGGAAATCTTCTCTAGTCAATAACAATGCTTCCTCTGAAGTTGTAAATTGCAGTCATCTGGTGTTCAGTTAATCTCTGTACCGATTTTGGTCGGTATTTTTCTATATGTTCAACGAACATTGAGTTATTTGGCGCAAAGCATTTGTATCCAATCGATGTCGTTGTTAACTAATTTATACCTATGATTTTCTTGACTACTTGCTAGGTCGTTGCGTGAACAAGACGACAAATCGATCAATAGCCTGTGAATCTCATGTATGCGTCTTCACTGAGATAGACAATGTGGAAAGTAACACCGATTGTCTCGGCGGTAATCGGGGTGTGCATACAGCGCTCATAGTAAGCACTGCAATAAGCTTTTACGAACCATACAACGGAAATGTTCACTTATTATACCACTGTGAATGTTGAAGATAATTTTCTTCTTTATATAGCGTACCACAGATAGATGAACAAGAAGATAACAGAAGTACTCCAACACAGTCAAAAATACAGCAACGGTGGAGATACTACTGTCGATGGAGTGATTGTAATAGTGAATCGGTCATTCATAAAATGAGAAAAGCAATTGGAAGTAATTATAATCTATTAGAGATGGTACGGCTGTTGAAGGCTGAATTGAATCAGATATTAGAGGAAGATAGTATAACGTCAACACCAGCCATGAACAAATCAACAAGTCGTATGAATGTGACTCAAAACAATATTCCCACGATCTCTAGCAGTGATCCGAATACCAGAATAAGTACTACAACAGTCACTACCATTATCTCGACGACCAGAAGCAGCACCTCAACAAGCACTTCAAGCAGGACACCAAGCCACACTTCAAGCAGGACGCCAAGCCACAGTTCAAGCAGGAGGCCAAGCGACACTTCAAGCAGGACGCCAAGCCACAGCTCAAGCAGGACGCCAAGCCATACTTCAAGTAGTACTTCAACAGGCGCCTCAAGCAGCAATATACCTACCATTGAATCATTGATTTCGGATAGCTCAAGCATTAATACGAGCAGACATCCGAACCACAATTCAGCCTCCTTTCAAGCATCGATGCATATCGTCTATTTGAGTCTTCTTCTGATCTTCTGCAATGTTCTCTATTGAATTCTGACATTCCATTCCGTCGCTTCATATGATGCCATTCAAAATGCATTGTTTTATTCAAAAATAAAATAAACATACCAATGCAGTGCACTGAAAAAAGGTGTAAATGGGCAGCTTCGGTGCGGAGCTAAATATCTTCAACGGTTATGATCATCTGAGATATAGTTACCCTTTTTTGGACACAGATAAAAAAGCAAAACAGAAGATACATTGAAAATAATATCTGTTTGGTTTTATGAAGAACTTTAAAAATAGGTTGCTTTCTAAAGTTTTAGACTGAAGGGCTTGGGTGTGGATGTTAGTGTGAGCATCAGTGTGGTGTGGAGTTATTTAATACCAATCCCCACTCCAGCAGTTCTGTCTCAAAGTAAATTTTTCTGTTGAAGGAGATCGTGACCAATCTCAGTTCTCTCTGCTGTGTAATCCACAGGAGCTAGGTTAAGTTTATTTTGTTTGGACTCAAGATGTGTCTGTGATATTTTTAAGATGCATATTATTTTGAAAAATTACGCAGTATTTGAAACACAGTTGTTAATATTTCGTCATGAGTGTTATTAGATGGAGCCTTTATAAACATTTATTTCAAGGTTTTCAAGGAATGCTAAAGCTGATAATAAAAAGCTTGATTTCTATTCGTGACAAGTGGAGAGAAATAAATCTTTATTAATTAGCCATATTCTATCAATGAAAAATACACTGAGACCGTGGGAAGATCAAATAGTAGGACGTGGGTGAGGGCGTCGGTGTGGGCATCGGTGTGGAGTGTAGGTGTGGGTGGATAGGATACGGGTGTGGAATTGGACGTCAACGTGAATGGCGTTAAGATGAATTCACACTTTCAACCACACTCACACACCCACACCCTAATCTAAAGACACAAATGAAGACCATCATTCAGAAAAATGACCATTGCTTATTCATTTAAGATCTTTCTAAAGGCTGTTGGTGTGATGAGGTTAAGATTTAATGATGAAAAAATCCCAATCCATACTCACATCCCACCCAAAGACTCGTTGTATTGACTCTCTCATCAGAACGTGTACTAAATTCAGCACACAAGAACTTTGATCAACATAGTTTGTTAAATAATGAAAGTAGGAAGCTTATTGAGCCAAATGACACGACTGCATGTATGAGTGAAACGGATATAATAAATAGAAAACGTAATTGGCTGTTGCCGTTTATCGCAACAAGGCCTGACTTTACTCTTTTTTTTTGGAGTCTATTGAAATATTAACAATTTCTATTGAATCATCAAGCATGCATTTAACGTCATAGCTTCTGTTAGTAATACACGGGGACTTCAAAGAAAAACAGAATAATCACAAAAGTTAGGGTGTGGGTGTGCGTGAGTGTGGGGTGTGGGGTATGGGTGTGTGTGTGAGTGTGGGGTGTGGGGTATGGGTGGGTGTGGGGTGTGGATGTGGGTGTGTGGGGTGTGCTTGTGGGTGT